TATCCTCTTTTTTCACCTGCATTCAACCCCTAACCTGACTCGCTATCCAGGCCCCACCCACATTCACATCCCAGCTCCACCCCCAGGCCCCACCCACATTCACCTAGCCCCACGCCCCAGGCCCCACCCCCACTGACCGTGACAGTGAGGGCGGTGGCACGGGCTGGCAGGTTGAGCTGGTGAAGCACAACCCCCTGCTCATTGGCCACCAGCTCCTGGGGTAGTGGGGGTGGGGATGCATCCCCCATGACCTCGGCTGTGATCCGCACGGGGACCCGGGGGGCCGGGGAGCCGTCAGCCTGCGTCACACGGGCCTAGGAGGGTGGAGGAGGTCAGGGGGGAGTCCTGAGTCCACGGCCCTCCCCACTGTGCATCAACACACACGCAGGACCCTGGAGCTCCAACACACACATGCACATGAACCCCGGGCATCCAGGACATACACATGCACACTCACAGGACCTAAGCATCCAGGCCACACTCACAGGTGTCCAAGCCACCCACACACACACACATATACATACACAGGCACGCACACACACACGTGGGCGCACACACACAAACATACACTCACACACTCAGAACCCAGGCATCCAGGCTGCACACACCAGCACAGGGAAGGGGGCACCAGGCACGAAGTGGCGCTCCGTCCCTGCTAGGTCCACAGTCCATGGGGACGTCACGAACCGCACTGAGTTCAGCTCTGCCTCCTCCATCTCCCCACCTGCCAGGACCCAGGATCAGGCCCAGCACAGATTGGAGCCAGACCCTGGCCCCTGCCCATACCACCCAAAATTGGGTCCCCTTGGAGGGTGCAGCCCCTTCCCCACTCCGCCAAGATTGGGCCCCTCCAGGATCAGGGTCCCCATTAAAGGTTCCAGTTCCCTCCCCGCTTCAGGATCAGAACCCCCTTAAAGGTCCATCCCCAGGTGGTCCACCCCCCTCCTCCTATCCCCACTTCCCCCAGAATCAGTTCCCTCCAGGATCCGGGTCCCCCAGGAGGCTCCAGTCCCCTCCCCACCCTCTCAGGATCAGACCCCCACCCCACTCCCTAGTGGGACCCCACTCACTGGCTGTCTCAATGACGGTGGCAGCGATGTAGAGGCGAGTCCCCACCAGGTCCCGCAGGGGGCGCCCCACCTTCTCCACCAGCAGGGCACGCCGCAGCATCACACTCGCCTCCCCCTCTGTCACCTGGAGGTAGGGCCAGAGAGGGCAGGGCCAACAATGACATACAGGCCCTTTCCAGCACCTGGGGGTGGGGTCACGGGAGCTGGAAGGCTCCGCCCCCTCCAGCATCTGGAGGCAGGGTCAAGGGAGATCTACAGGCCCCGCCCCCTCTGACACCTGAGAGCAGGTCAATGGGTGTCCAATGGGGGTCCCAGGGAGGGTCTGGAGGGTTATAGGGGGAGTCCCAGGGAGGTAGCAGGGTGATGGGGGACCGGGACAGGCTTGGGGAGAGGTTAGGGGTCTTGGGGCGGGCTGAGGGCCCTGCGGGGGGTCCCCAGAGAAGATGGGGGCCCCAGAGGGGAGGAGGGAACTCCTGAGAGGCCTTGGGGGCTACCAGGGGGATCCAGGGAAGGTGGCAGGGGATATGGGGGGTTCCTGTGGGGAAGTGGGGGCTCTCAAGGGTTCAGGAGGAAGAGGGAGGTAGGGATCCCTGGGGGTTCAATGGGGGTCGAAGAGGATCCTGGAGACATCATGGGGTGTCCCAGGGGCTGTGGTAAGTCTATGGGGGAGTTGGGGGGGTCCAGGGGGTCATGCAAGTCCAGGGGGGTCCTGTTGGGGTTCTCACCGTGACCTGCTGCTCCAGCCCCCGTATGAAGACATGGCCGCCAGTGCCGTCGCTGATGCCAAAGCGCAGGAAGGCAGCGCCCGTCACCCCCTTCCCATAGGTGAACCTGGGGGATCGAGCGGGGGGTCAGGCAGTTCCAAGTGGCTCCAGGGGGGGCCAGGGAACAGGGGGGCCGTACCTGACGCGCAGGTTGATTTGTAGGTCACTGCTGCTGTCATCCGTCACCAGCAGGAAGCTGCGGTCAGGCACCAGGCGCACCTCGAAGTTGGGGAGCACTGGGGAGGGGGAACAGGGTGTGGGACCCAAATGTCTGGGTACCCACAGGCCTCTGCTCCCACCCCCTGCCCCCCTCCCCTCCCAGAGAACCCAGGCATCCCGGCTCTCAGCCCCCTTCTCCCACCCTTTGGGCCCAGAGCCCTCCCAGCCCCCTAGTGCTCTGACCACTAAATGTCACTCCCCCAGAGAACCCAGGTGTCCGGGCTCCCAGCCCCCTGGCTCTAACCACTAGCCCTCACTCCCCAACCGCCCAGAGAACCCAGGGGTCTGGGACTCACCATACTTCATGACCTCAAACTCAGCACTGGTGTTGGACTCAAGGGCATCGGCGAACCGCGCTATGATGCGCCACGTGCCTGGGCTACAAGTTGTGGGAGGGCAAATTTGGGTGGGGACCCACGTGTCTGGGCTCCCAGAATGCCCTGCTCTCAGCCTACAGACCCCCACTCCTCTCCCAGGCCTTGGGCTCCCAGTGCCCAACCCCCTCCAAGCCCCACTCCCTGTGCCTCTAGCTCCGCCCCGTTTCCCATTACCCAGCCCTGAGCTGCTAGCTCTGCCCCTTTATCGTGCCCCACCCATCAGAAGCTCCGCCCCTTGACCCACTCCTTTCCATGCCCTGCCTCATTCAGTAGCTCCGCCCTTTCCAATGTCCCACCCCTCAGTCACCCACGCCCCTAGCTCCACCTCTTTCCCATGCCTTGCCCCCTCAGTCAGTAGCCCCACCCCTTCCCAAGCCTCGCCCCTCAGTCACCTGCCCTGCCCCCCAGGCCTCTTAGCCCCGCCTTTTCCTGTGCCCCACTCCCTCTCTCACTAGCTCCGCCCCTTCTGCAAGCCCCGCCTCTCAGTCACCAGCTCTGCCCCCTGTGCCTGTAGCCTCAGGCCCTTTCCCATGCCCCGCCCCAGTCACTAGCCCTGCCCCCCGGCTCACGGGGCGATGTCGGGGATGCTGAGCTGATCTGCAATGACCCAGTTGAAAGGGACTCGCTGCACCCGTCGCACCTGCAGCCCCTGGCTGTTCTGGGGGGGCAAGGGGGGCAAGGGGCAAAGGTCAGGGGTCAGCACCCCCCATCCTGCCCCATCCAAAGGGCCTCAATCCTGGTCCCCTGGCAATAGCTTCCAGGGGCCTGATCCTGCCCCCAGAGCCCCAAACTTGCCCCCCGCCAAGCTCAAGGGGCACGATCCTGCCCCCACACCTAAGATCTGATCCTGGCTTGATCCCACCGCCCCAGCCCCAAGGGGCCCCATCCTTCCCCCCCAGTTCACAGAGCCTCGATCCTATCCCCCCAGCTCCCAGGGGCCCCAATCCTGCCCCCAACCCTACTCACCAGGACAGAAATGACAACCGGCTCATTTGTGGGCCGCAGCGACTGATCCAGGGCGAAGACTCGGAAATGAACTGTGGGGGTGAGGGGGGGAAGGCAGGGTTGAACCTGGGTCTAGAGAGGCGCGTGGGGACTGCGGAGAACTTGGGGGGCATGGGCATCTCTGGAGGGCTGGGGGTGCAGAGCAGGTGGGGAATCTCTAGGGGCCATGAGCAGGTCTTGGGGGTCTCTAGGGGCTGTGTGGGAGTGGGTGGGGTGGGGGTCCTTCGGGGTGTCCCTGGGGAGGGTGAGAGGTCTCAGGGGTGTAGGGCTGGTGAGGGGCTGTGGGGGGTCTGTGGAGACTGAGTGGGGGTCAGGGGTGTTTGTGGGGGTCTTGGGGGGGGTATGGTGATCCCTGGGACTCTCTAGGCATCTCGGGGTGAAGGGCTGGCCAGGGGGTCTTGGGGGAGGGGGTCTCACAGGGGTCTAAGTTGTGTAAGACTAGCTGGGGGCTGCAGGGCTGGCCAGGCATCTGTGAAGGTCTCTGTGGTTCCTGGGGGGCTTCTGAGGGTGGCCCTAGGAGGAGGGTGTCTCGGTGGGTCCTAAAGAAACAGAGGTGCAGGGCCAGATGGGGGGGCCGTGGGAGGTCTCAGAAGTCCTGGGGGGCTAGGGTGTTCCACAGAGTAGGTCTGATTTGGGGGCATATGGGTAGCAGAGGGGTCTCTGGGGGTCCCGGGGGTGCAAGATGAGCAGCAGGGGGGTCCCACAAGTGTAGGGCTGCTGGGATCTCTAAGAGGTCCCTGGGGGGCTGGGGGTCCTGGGGTGCAGGGCATGCCGGGGGGTTGCTGGTGGGGTCTCAGTGAACCCACCCCCGGATTACGACCCCTCCTCCTGTCCCCGCTCCCCCCCAGAATCAGTCCCCTCCAGGATCCGGGTCTCCCAGGAGGGTCCACCCTCTCAGGATCAGATCTATGGGCTTGGGGGTCCCATAGGTGTAGGGTCCCGCGGGTGTCGGGGGTCAGAGTCTCACCCCTCTGCCGCGGCGTGTAGATCGGCTTGTCGGTCTGCACCAGCAGCTGCC